GGGAGAGGTTGGCGTGCTGACCTTCTCCACAAGCTCAAAAGCTATGTTGCTTCTGGACAAATATTTTGTTTAATCTAGTCGTTCCTAATAAATCATATAAAGGTGGCACCACCCCCGGGGGCTTTATCTTTGATTTTATGTTATTTCTTATCTTCATCAACAACCTTCCTGATGTCATCAGTTCTCAACTAAGTATTTCTACTGATGACACAACTATTTTCCATTTGTCTTAGTGGCAAATTCGACAGATATGTGAAAGTAAAACAGTCAACGGCTCTCGAAAATGACTCTAATCATTGGTTAACTGTGATAAGCTCCTACTATATATCTCGAGATTCTTGATAAAATCCAAAGAAGCGTCTGTAATATTATTGGTCCTGACCTGGCATCTCGACTTCAGTCACTTTCCCACCGGCCTGACATGGTTTCCCTCTGTCTTTTCTACAATTATTTCACGGCAATTGTTCTGATGTTCTTTTTTCTTTAGTGCCTCAACTGCATTAATTTAAGTGTACTACTACATTGAAAACTAGAATTCCTGAGAATTCCTAGGTGTTATATATCATATATATGTTACTGTTGAACTAACTAGCTCTAATCATATGTTCTATTCTAATATTTTTTTTCTCTCACTTCTCGCCTGTGAAATTCTATTTTGGTTTCTTGATTTCCAGCAAACTACAATCTTCAAACATTTTAATGCAACACGAGTCATCATCATTTGTTTTCCTGAAATCTATTAATTTATTGTTCTTTCTCCTCACTAAATTTTTCTAATTCTTTTTCATTCCCAGTTGTGTCTTAGTGGCTTTAACGCCTTGCTTGGGGTAGAAATAATAAAAAAATATAAAAAAATATGTAAGCAAGGAAGATATATGTAACACACTTACACACACACATATATATATATAATTATTTATTTAAAAATATGATTCCAATACGCTACATAAGAGTTCTCATGTTTCAAAACAAGAGCCGAAAACTTCAATATAATTATTAGAATTAAATTGAATTAAATTACTAAGCTCTTTTCCATCTTCAAGCGATTTTTTTTTTGAATAACTTATTTCTGAAATTTACGTGTTTTATAAGCATATAAAATCGCTCGTAAATCGCTAACATTTGTTTTTTGACGCCAAATGTTAGCGATTTACGACAGTTTTTATATGCACAAAACCCTTTCAGAATAAATAAAAAATAAAATAAAAAAAATAAAAAAATCTCCATAGACGCTTAACCAGACTATGCGATGTCTTTCCGCTTTAAATTTAGACACCCCTGACTTGACATCTGTGAATGTAACCGAGATATTGATACAAATTATTAATACTTTTCGCCCCTTTCTCTTTGGACGGTTGCTCTAGCCGTTACCATAGAAATTTTGATTTTAATAATGAATATGCTTATAAAATTGAAATCAACACTGAGAGGCGACAGTATTTTTTTTTGCTAAACGTAAGGCTTAACAATTGCATTTAGCACGAAACAGACTGTGGCCTCTGGGTGTTGACTTCAGTGTCCACTTATATATATATATATATAACCTAAACAAAATCAACTATGGAATCTCTACAAATATCCTTAAATGTCTATAATTGGTAACAAAAGCTATTGGTTTATACCAACGGCTTCCCATACTTAATACTTCTCGAATTCACTTTCGCGTGGTCATGTGTGACGTCATGAGCTGCGGTGCGATTTTCGCTTCTAGCGTCTTATATGCACGTGTTTATCGTTGCTTGGAAATCATCCATGTAAACAATAACAGACTATCATCACTGTCTTGTTCGTATATTGCTTAATATGTTGTACAGTAATTAACATCTTTGATAATGGCTTATGTAAGCCGAAAGCTTAGATTGGATTAAAAAATATGGATCAATATTGTGATTTTCTTTCTTCGTTTAATGATAATGTTATTAAGCTTATCAGACGTTATGAAAAGAATTTACATAAAATAAATAGACAACACTTGTCCATGTTATTTAATGAAACATCTATCTATGTATATATATATATATATATATATATATATATATATATATATATATATATATATATATATATATGCAGTTGTGACTCGGTCGTCGATATATCATTGATTTGATTGTAATTTCTTCAAAACAGAATGAATTTTTCTTTTTTGTGATCCTATTGTCACGTGTGGTTTGCTTTGTGGCTGAAAGAGTTACTGTCCTTAGTTCTTGAACCCGTAAAATAAATAAGCAAATTAATTAATTAAATAACGAAATAAAATTTCCTTCATTCCAAATACTGATTTTTATGGCCGATAGGCTCATCTCACAAGGCTTAAGAAAATCTTCCTTCCGATTTATTTTATTGTAACTCGCTTACAACTGAATTATTTCCATTTTGAAAAACATCAGGAAATGAAAGAAACGACACTTTCCCCATTATGACATTGAAAAAATGACACTAAAAGGATTCACTCCTAGCAGGCATATTTTCATAATTTTCAAAATGTAATTAATCATCGTTGGTTTCTTTTTCCACAACTACTCCTCTTTAATATACATTATTAATTATAAAAAAATGATTTTCAGGTGTTTTCTTTAAATCGACATGATGAAAGAATGATCTCATTGGATAGATAAGATTTAAATGTATAGACATTTTTGGGAACCAAAATTTAACTTTCTGTTTAATACGAATATGATAAAAATCTATCCATTTTTTTCTATATAAGATTTTTAAATTTATTATTTTTGGGAATTAATGTTTGCGTAAAATTGTATCTGGTTTTGCCCGCTGAGTATCAAACACCAGCAAATTTCCTCGTCTCTGCAGCAATCGGGCTCTTTGAATAATCACTCTCTTTGAATAATCTAAATTCTTTCTCTGAATTCAATTTTCTCTAACGTTTTTTGGAAGGCTCTTTGGAACTAGTCTTGATGCGTTGTTAATTATGAATGCAACACTCAGTTACATATTCCACAATTTTTCACTTCACGAACAAGATTAAGAAAATCTTTTTTTATTCTCTTTCTATTTTACTTTGTAGTTCATCATGAAAGAAATTTTTTAGTTTTTCTTGTCTCTTGACCTGAATTGAGTGATCCGTCAGAATTTCAGTCTGAAATAATTTTGTCTCGTGCAATTTCTGACTTGGAATTATATAATTAATCTGCATGGTCAAATCAAGTTCATTTGTACAGTTATCAAAAAATTACCATTCCTTCCCAGTCATTTTATACTCTTGATCTCATTTGATTCATTCTCTTTGTGTATAATTTACAGTTCCTTCCCTGTCGATACACAGACGAGATTTGATATATTGTAGAATCATATCTACCTGGATTTTCATGTAGCCCGTTCTTATAGACTTTATTTTTGTTTCTACTGTTGGCGATTAACTTTAACTTTTCAAGTGTATATTGCGCAAGCCTACCGACATTTTTTTTCCTTTAGGTTCTTTTATTTGTCCATTGAACTATTTATGGAATTTTTATACTTTCTATTTTATGATTTCTAGCTTTGTCTTTTGTTATAGAATACGAAGGCTAAACAAAAATGGTGATGGATTCAGTGTCAGGATTCCACGCACACGAGGTTCAAACCCCGTCAAAGTTCTGACCAATATATTAGGGTCTAGAATTACTTTCACGACAGTTATCACTTTGTTTAAGTTTTTCTATAAGAGCGGAAAACGCGCCAAGAAAGTTGCTGTAGTTATGAGTCTGATTCTTTCCTCTCCCAGATTCCTTCGCGTGCCATGTTTCAACAGAGAGACAAGCCACCACAAGGAGATGATAGGTAGATAGCCAACCTGTTGACATTTCTTCTCTTTATTTCGCTCTTTCTCTTGGTTCCTCCAAGAAACGATGCCTACCAGCATTGGTACTGGCATTGATTCAGTCTGTGACGCAGAGTTTGGGTTACTACTGAGGTATTGCCAATAGACCATCAGATATAATTTTCGTCGTTATTGTAAATCCGTTTCCGTATACTCGTAACTCAACACTTTTTTATGTGAAAGCCTTTTTATTTATTTTTTAAAATTTTTGTGCAGGTTTTAGCGGCCATGATAATCCTTTATTCTATCGTGTGTACTCGGTCTTTTTATTTGAATCAAAACAATGCTTCTTATCTCTTTGTTTCTGCACATCATCAATTATCATATACAAAATGCTGACAAAGCATTTCAACGGTCAAATTTCATACACAATGTGATGCAATGTGTATTTGTTAGCCAGCGTAAAGATCTCAGAGCCGTTCCAACGCAACGTTAAAAAACCTCGTGTGATAACTGAACACGAGTATATAGCACAAAGCTTATTGGTAGACTGGCTCAGTAAGCTGGGCACCAAAAACTGTTGACTATATTCGCATTCCCGTTGAATGTTACAGCCCGAACACCAACAACAGATCTTCAGGGAACACCTCGTATACATACATACATACATACATACATATATATATATATATATATATATATATATATATATATATATATATATATATATCACCCTGGTTTTCTTTTCGTTTTTTTATGTAGCTTTTTTACTTTCTACCCTTTCTACTTCACGCTCGCTTTTTCCTGATTCCAACTCAGAAGCAATTGAACAGACTCTATATTTTTATCTTAGCAAATTCGTAATGGTTATGCGTATAAACAAGTCGAGATTGATGTTGTTGTTACTGTTGTCATTTGCTTAGTGTTCAATGGAATCAAAATGTTTGTACAATAAATAATTGATTAATTTGTTTTTTACGGACAATTTTTCCTCCAGAAAGTCTAGCACATTTATATTGTTTTTTTACGGCTTATGAAAGCCATAAAAAATATTTTCAGACTACGAATTTTTTTTTTTTACAGATAATAATGATTTACTGATGCAATTTCTACTAATTAACAAAGAAGAGATGGATTCACGGGTATTTGCGTGTAAGTGAATATAAAGAATCCGACTGCAATTGAAACTCGGCTCACCGATTTCCAATCGCAACCCCTTATCCATTACACCACCTGCACATTCAAGCCTACAGCACCTATTATTCCCAAACGGTCACTCATCTAAGTACTGACCAAGCTCGACGTTGTTTAACTTCGATGATCGAACGAGAACCGATTTTGCAACGTGATACAGTCGTATGATTTATACAATAAAAGCAAGTAATTATTAAGCTGTGTAACCGAATTGTTCGTTTAAAAAGCGGATTTTTAAAAAAGTTGTGTGTTAAATTCAGTAAAACTTACGAAGATTTTATTATTTTCACTCTTTAAGGAGCTACCAGAATTTGAAAGCAGCTGGAAAAGATACAAATACATGTATGACTAAATATGAGCATGAGAGTTAGAAAGATGCTTATACGTCTAAGGGAACTTTTCGTTGTTGCTTTTTTTTTAAAACCGTATCCAGCAAGTATACGAAAACGGATTTACAATAACGACGAAAATGATCTTCACCGTAACAAATAATCCTAACAATTATAATCATAAGAGAAACAAAAAACCTCAAATAAAAAACACAAAGTTTATCAACACACATACACACACATTGTGCGTAACCGAGTACACAGATACTACACTGATCTCAGGCAAAAGTGCTGATTCATACATAAATAAATAATTTCACATTTTTCAATGTTATTTTTACTCCACCGTTAGGCTATCTTGCTCTCAATATGCCCCGGGAAGTATTGAAGTTTTCCAAGCACTTCTTCCTCATTATGTGGCCAAGTCATTTCAGCTTATTTCTCCTTGATTCTGAGTAGAAATGTTCCTTCTGTTGCCATTTTCCTTAAAACTTCCTTGCTGCTTACTCGTTCCATCCATGGAACTTTCAGCATCCTTCTGTAGAACTACATTTCTGCTGCCTGTACGTTTTCCCTTATCCTTAGAAAATCGTCCGACATTCACTGCCGTTCCCATCCACTATATGTGGATGGGAACCACATAGCAATCCAGAATTCTTTTCTTTGCTTCTAACGAAATCTTTTCATTTCTTGGCACCTTGCTTAGCTTTTGGAATGTCTCTTTCGGTAGTCTCGGATCTCGGTGTCGCATCTTCCATAATTTTGCTAAAAATACTGAACGGCGTCTCAAAAATTAGCAGATGCGGGACAAACATGAAGCAAGTCGAAAAACACATCGGCTGAAAAGCTTAGATAAAAGCAACAAAAATTAAGATACTAGCTCCAAGAATACTTGGAATTAACGCTGGAAACAAATAATAATAATAATAATAATAATAATAATAATAATAATAATAACACCGGTAAAGTTACTTAAATGTGCAAAGTTTAAATTTTGTGTTGAATTTTAATTTCTAACTCTAGATCAGTAAATCGTACCGTTTCATCACTGAATTTATTTTGATTGGAGCCACAGTAGCAATAAAATTCAGATTTGAAAGAATGAAAAGCAAGTCAGTGGATAGAAGAAAAGAAATATGAAATGTGAAAATATTTCATGAAAGTAAATTAGAACATTTTAAAGTTTTGAATGGATCCATCGTTTAACGCCATTCATAAGAGTGAAGGATGTTTGTGAAATAATACGGAAAAGATCTGAACAAAAATAACTGCTACTACCACTAAGACTGCTGCTATCACAACTTTAATCTTATAAATTCTGATACTAAGTAAACATGTTTTGTCAAAATCCCGCTTAAAGATTAATTATTCATTGAAGTTATTCACTTAATTAAAAATAATTCTGTGATTAAAAAGACTCATAGACTTGCAGACAGTTATATAAAATGTTGGTTTGTAGTTCTTCACCCATTTTCTATTGCACACAAGTATACATTAAATTCCATAATTTGGCTAATATTACAGAAGAATATTTGAAGCTAAAGAGAAAAGAAATAATGATGGAGTTTTGAAGTTTTTTTTCTAAATTCCATTAACCAAGTAGAAATAGGAAAAAAAGAAATTCTGCATTATAGTCAATATTAGTGAAATTCTTTTATTTTTAGAAAAATAAAAAATGTTCACTATTTCAATAAAAAAAGAAAAAAGATAGACAAGTCTGCAAACCATTTTGGCTTGCATAAATAAATATAAACAAAAAGATAAGGAAAAAATAAATAAAAGAGGCAAAAGGTCATCATTTCTAAATGTAGGTGAAGACAAAAGGGATTGTTAAATGACATTATTAAGACACTTAAAAATTCTATAAAGATTCGAAAAGATTACTTACTACTATCGATGAGATGTATACATACACATTTACAAGGACTCACTTCTTTCTCTGTCTTATGCTAAAGAACGTAGGCGTTCAACACGAGAACTTCCTGATATGAACTCTTTAAATATTGTAAATTTTATTTTAAGAGATATAATATTTTAACAGTATCCTTGTACTAATTATCTTTGCATTCATTTTTAATAGGCCAAAACATGTATATTTGGATTAAGGACATTATCCGAAAATAACCACTTGTAACCCCCCCCCCCCCAAAAAAAACACTAAAACCTCACAATCCCATTCAAACATAGTTTCATTATGTCAGAACACATTTATTGTACACACAAATTTGCATTTAAATAGAGGCCATATCTTTGCAGGGAATTCAAATTGAACATAAAACTGACTTGAGTTTTTGGTACTTTAGTTATTAACCACCAAAGCCTAATTGTTTTTGTATTTTGGTCAAATAATACCAAAGAACGTAAAGGCAATTTAACCTCCTGCACATCACACATTAAGATAACGATTAAAACTTTTCTTTATAATTCTATTTTTCAGAAAAAAAATGTTCCTCTGGAAGATCTCCATCATTCAGCTTGCTTTTGCTGTGGTAAGTCATTTTTATTGCTATCTATTTAAATGTAAAACGTTTCACGTTAAATTAAAAATATGCTGAAAACGCTAGATTTTATTAAGTTGCGTAGATATTTCACTTACTTGGAAATTTATGGTAATTTGAGTTCATATTAACTCAATTATATCTTGATTCAAGTATTTTAAAGTATATTCTGATCGAACGTTGTAATTTCAAGAGCGTACAAGTGATGAGATCATTTTCCTTAATTAAATATATGAACGTTTAATTTAAAATAAATGCAGCATTTAAATTTTTTTAACATTTTAATCTTGTAAAATTCACAATGAAAAAGATGTTGAAAATAACTGAAAAATAATGTGTACTGTTAAACTGAAATTTGTGTGCACCTTGCATGTGTGTGAGTCTCAGTGTGTATATTCGGTAATATCGGGCAATCAGAAAGCCTCGGAGACTCAGATTTTTGCATGGTTAATTGCATGGCCTCCAGAAATAACAAAGATTATGTAAGATTGACTTCGAAGGTCTTTCGAAGTGTTTGGGGTTATCAACTGAGGACCGTTTCCAGCCGAATGAAGCAATTTCTGCTAAGATGTACTGAGGTATTCACAAAAAAGGGAGGTGACATTTCAAGGTCACTGAAGGGGGTCACGGAAGAATTAGTTTATAGCTTTTATAATCTGTATTGCAGACAAATAATTACATTCTTAAATGAACGTGGGAGGGGGCTCAGACTATTTGTCTAAGGAACACTGGTCTATGGAACACTTGTCTAAAGAATATACGTCTAAGAAATATTCGTCTAGAGAATTATGGTCTAATGTGGGTTGTATTAATGTACAAATAATGCATGCTAATAAAATGTTTATAAACGACATGTATCATCAGGAATTAATGTTGCTGTGTCTTAAATATTATTCTGTATTGTAGTGAATATCAATAAAAGTGAGTATTTTTTTACAGGAATAAAGTGTTAATTTATTATAGACCAATGGTCCTTAGATGGTTATTCCATAGACCAATAGTCTTCAGATGGTTATTCCATAGACCAATGGTCATGGATATATAGTGCTGAAATCTGTCAGAATGAAAATTTAATTTTTTTTTTCCTATCAAACGTTGTTTTCAGTGTTGTTTGTAAAACCCTGATAAAAAATCAAAAAATATTCTAAAATGTTCAGGATTAAACTTTTTTTTTTCAGTTGTTTAAATGTCAAATAATTGCTCCAAACTACAGAAATAGTGGTTCGTGAACAAAATATGTTTACTCTATGTTCCTTGTTCTCGGATTCGATCCGTAGACAATTTTTTTCATTCTGACACCCACTGGAAGAACTACGAATATGGTGTATGAAATAGCTTCGTCAAACTAATGGATTATATCACTTGCGTAGTTTTCATTAATAGCTATTTGTTTGCGCATTTTTTTCATGCCATGATCCTTGAAGACGAATACGATCATTTCTCTTCACGGTTTTCTTTTCTTTATTATCTGTGAATTGCCAAAACTTCTTGGGGGTTATTTCCAGTTAATTCCTCCACGTTTTTGAATTCAGAGTTTTCGTTCTCCTAGTCTGGATGCTACTCAAGTCTAAATATCTCGCTATTTAACACATGGCTGGGAAAGAGGAAGTGGTTTCATGCTTTTCTCAAGGGCATTTGTGTGAAAACGAACGCCACATACTAGGTTGGACTTTGAACAGGGTTAATAGATTTCACTTTCCAAACTAGATGATCTTTACACGACTCGCAAAGGATTTTTAAATGTATAAATTGTGTATTTCTTTTCTTCATTTGTTGTGTAAAAAGAAATGTTTTTTTTCGATGGATTTACAAAACTAACGATTTTTACGGAATACTTGAATCAAGGAAGTTATTTATATCAGGAGTGAGTAAAAACGTATCAAAGCTCTCTATTTTGAAAACTAGAAACTAAACACAGTAGACAACTCTTTTTTTTTTAAAAGTAAAACTAATGGAAACTTTTGCACAAACCTAATATTTACGATATGAAAACATGCCATAAGAACGGATCAGTCTGTAAGGATAGAATTTAATACATAAGCGAATGTCCTAAAGATTTCAGTTTGCTAACCATCGCCCTACAGTAGGTAGCCAAGTTAAATTATTTCAGTGATATCTCTCTAAGTAGTGTAATAGATGTCGGCCAGGAATGTGCAATCGGCGAGCTCAGTTCAAATTCTAGGACAGTCTCTTGCGTTCACTTTCGAACAAATGCTCTTGGGAAAGGCATGAATCCATTTCTCCCATTCAACCACCAGCTACGTGGTAAACACCATGGTAAATAGGGCTCTCTAGCCTTGAGTATTTTTCAGCGCGCACACGTCGCTACCTAATGTG